CAACCAGAGCGTCTTAAGAAGACTGATTATGTAAGTACCTGCCAGATAAATAACGCTCCTCAATTTAACTTTACTCATAAACCATCAGATGGACGCTAGACTGAAGGAGGAGGAGGCAACTGCCTTCATTAAAGTTTACCAGCATGTGGCTGGATAGATTTAACCATCTGATTGTGAGATTGACCTAATCACCCCCTTCCTTCTTCTCTGTAGGCACAGATCTTGGACCTTCTGAATGAACACAACATTTTGCGAACACGAATGGGAGACCTGATCTTGTGCTGGACGCGCTCTCGACAAGAAATGAGCGATCGTATACGCCTGAGCCTCAGTGACGCACTAGTAGAAGCCGAGAAACGTGACCTTCAGAAATGCAGTGCGGAGAAGCAGCGAAATCTGTGCCTTCAGTTAGCCGCCCAGGTAATACGGATTCTCGGCTATTTTGTTATGTGGAATTCGCAGCCTTCCTAAGTGCATTCTGGTGGACTTAATTCAGCGAGATCTCCTCTTGACTGGGTCATGTGACCTTTTAATGAAGCTAAGGAGCTGAAGTACTGTGTTTTTAGCTAACAAATGTGGTAATATGGATGCTCACAAATTTTAGACATTTAGGGAAATGAATTCACTGGTCAGGAAAATAAACTTCAATAAGTGTTATATCCATCAGAGAAGGTGGTTTAGTTTTTGCATATGGTTTTTTTAGGACAGCAGTGCTTTCTTGAAAAAAAAGCATTTATAAAGCATTTAAGGGTTAGCAGGAAATCTTCATGTCAGGAATCCTCTTGAGCCACACTCGGATAAAAGCTCATCACTTTACCCACTAGTTTTTTGTCGTCATTAAATCACCTGCCTGGGCTTTAGACCGCAGCTTCATGATAAAGAGAGACGCCCTAACTTTGTCTTGCAAGTCGTGGGACGTTAGGCCTCCCAATGGAGCTGTTATTCTGGGCTTAAGCACGCGGGACGTGAGCTCGTAATACGGTTATAGTGCGTTTTATTGAATAAGTAAATGGCTCAAGGTTTACCGGCGGGCCTTGGAGTCACGGATGACCGATGATAACCAATCAAACTGAAACGTCTGTCCCAGCTTCCTCGGTCCTTGTCGATACCACTTCTTGTGTATCAGTTTATCGACATCGGGTGATCGTTGACAAGAACTCTTTACTGGAAGTGCATTGCAAAACGGGAGCTCCATATTTAAAATCAACCTGGCAGTACTTGACTGCAACAGTTACTCCCTTTTTCTCTCTACTTAAATCTATTGAGTAGCTTGAGCAAGTTGACGCTTTGCTGGTAATGCAAGTTATCCACCTGGACTAGGTTTCAGTAATCGTACCATAGACAAACAAACTGAAGATTATGATTCACGCTCAGTTAATACTTCATGCTCGTCAACACCATTACTTTTCCCAAGCAGTATTTTTTATACTTTGAAACGTGGCTGAAAACCCGTTCTTTTCATTTTTAGCAAGTCATAAAGTTTCAGGATGTTGCTTTTCCCACACCATGTTCTCTTAAAACCGGCCTCAGCGTCCTATTATTAGAAGGTTTAGCAATGCTTCAGACAAACTTCAGTAGTGCATCTTCGATTCGGATTTTTCAAAAATGGATCACATCTAAACCTAATTTAAAACTGCCGCACAGAATTTCACCAACTCAAGAAATGGCCATGATTTTTAGGGCTATCGCACTTGTTCTAGTGGAGCATAGGACGTCGTGAAAGATACCGTTAATGCTAGTGATGGTGGTGATGAGGAGGAGAAGGAGGAGAAAGTTGATGATGATGAGGATGATGATGATGATGAGTACGATGATGATGATGATGATGATGATGATGATGATGATGATGTTGATGATGGTGATGATGATGATGATGATGATGATGATGATGATGATGATGATGATGATGATGATGATGAAAATGATGATGATGATGATGATGATGATGATGATGATGATGATGATGATGATGGCGGTGGTGGTGGTGGTGATTGTGATGATGACTATCAGTATTATTAGTATTGTTATAAGTACAATTAATATAATTACAGACTGGGTAGTTAAGCACAAAAATACTGAGTTTAACAGTTATAGCCTTCGATGACATACAGGATTCAGCTAACACATGTTGGAGCGAGGATCATTGACATCTGACCTAAGGAAACTGCTGGATTGCGCACGGTTTTAATGTGTTGGATGGTCGAGATCCGCTTGGATATCCAAGATTTGGTCGCCGCACTGCATATTTGAAAGATAATCTGTGGGTAAGTGTTATAAACTGTCAGTCACCAGGCTACTCTGGCGTTTTTCTTTGATTGTAGGTTCAGCAATGGCGAAAGGAGAAGGCCGAATTGGCAGAGCTGGAGTATCGAGCCAATCAGGAATTCCAGGCTGAAAAAGCGCGACTGGATGCAGAGAAGTTAGATCGTGAAATGCACCGTCGTCAAGTCATCAAAAAACTGGTAAGTTTATATATGCGCCCAAGTTAATTAGTGCCCTCTTTTCAAAACATGCAGCAGCTCAGTGTAAGATGACCTTAAGATATCGTCACCGATTCCATTTCAGACAATTAAGGTCTGTAATGCAGCCTAAAACCCCACACAATCTCTATTTTGTGGTATCGGCGGGCTAAAAAGCAAACGTATCATTACCAGTACATCAACATTTAGTGCTCTTCTCAGGTCACAGGCAGCTAACTATGGATACTTTTGTCAGGATTAAGCAGGCATCTTTCCCTGAGCCTATAAATTTCGTATTGGAGATTTTCCTATCAACATGCATCTCATGGACTCCGAGTACAAGGTAGAACTTGTATTTGAATCAAGGTCCTGAAATACTGTTGTATGGTTATGACAGGTTTATGCCAATTTTCGGGATTTAGAATTACTGGACGAATAGGTTTAACGTGCAGAGACCTCAGATTTTATTTCCGAAACGATTACTTCGATAACTCGGGAAGTTCCTGTGTTCTTGGGGCCAACATTTTGGAATAATTGAGGAAGTGGATTGAAAGAATGCAAGTACCATCGTCATGACCGTGTCATAACATGATAGAATAGATTAGGTTTACCCTGAACTTCTGAATTTTCACAGGGTGATTTCGTTAGAAATGCGAACCATATTTCTTAGAATGTATTAAATCGGTTAGGGATCTCCGTAAAACGAGAAAGTTCCACACATATCCACTTTTTTGACAGTGGGTTTGAGCCCATTAGTATTATTTCGTAAAAAAATCCCGTGAAGTTTTCTAAATGAGGACGAGAAAGGAGGGCATTATCGCAGTACTGGGACAACGAAAGACTTGTACTAACGGAAAAAAATAACATGCCAGCCCAGGAGACTCGAAAATTCCAATCTTTTTCTCCAGCTTGGTTTCTCTTTATGGCTACTCTGCTAACACTTGTTTACTTTCCGGACCAAACGTGAGTGAAGAAGCCACAACCAACTCCAAAGGCTACTTCATTTATACTTTTTTAGCACAGCTGATTTATAATACTGAGCGTTTTGTTTTCAGTATTGCATGGGAGTCTTCTTTCGTTGCTCTCACTGCAACAGACAATCGCGCCAATAAAAAAACACCTTCACTTGCTTCTTTTCGGGAGCCTGAAATAACCCGGACCACCTGCTGAAATATCAGATGTTAGTTATGCCATTTAAACTAGGACGAACGGAGCTATCGCAGTCGGTTAAGTTAATAGGTAAAACCCTTGTGAGCAATACTGAAGTGGAAATGGCAGGTGGAAGGAAGAGTTCATTCTGTGTAACAAGTAATGGAGAATAGGTAGGAGGAAGTTGACTGTCGGACGAGTGCACGTCCGACCGCGAGGGGGCCGGGTCTGAAGTGTGGGAGCATAGCAGGCATCACAGCATCTTAAAGAGCATTATGTGTGTAAGTCAGCCCTGAAGGTAATTGGTCAGACCGAGGTAGGCAGACGGTGGTGGTTGCCCACAGTTTGTGGCTGCCCTAGAGACAGGCCA